GTAATAACTGAATAAAGTGGTGCAAGTCAGGTGTATTTAGACAGACTTTGCTATAATTTGCTGGTGTTTTGCAGATTTAGCTTGTAAAACTACAAAAAAATGTAAATAATGTCCATATAACATCTGTATTTTTATAAAAGATGATTCATTCTTTTACAAAGTTTTAACAAAATTGTATTTAAATCAGCAAAAAATATGATTAAATAAATAACTTGCCTTTATTTGGAAAAAAAAACAAAACATTAGGGAATAAAAAATGCTAAATATATTTTTTTCCTTAACACAAAATATTAAGTTGATGCAATTACCAGTGTTTATAGATCCGTCGCAGCCCATAAATGTTTATAGATTTTATTTTTTTATGTTGCAGTGATGTATTTAGCCAAGTGTTGGGAAAAGTGTTGTTAAAGTGACGCCATAGCAGGTTAAAAAAGGTGCTTTTCGTCCCGTATATTGGTAGAAAACTCCTGAAGACAGCCTGGATTTGCCGTTAAATGTCATTTTGATTCACTCAGAGGTTTTCTCTGAGGCTCACCACCCAGAACCAGAGCGCACACACACACACACACACACACACACACACACACACATCAGTTGCACTCAGCTGACTTTAGTTTTGCGGCTTTTCTCTTTTGTTCTTTGTCTCTCTTCCTAATTGGTCAATTAATGTCATTGATTAGCCGGAGGCCTCTGCTCGATACAAACTTTATGCTGCACGCGTGTTCGGCGTGGGCGGCCCGGTTTGGGCGGAGTGAAAACCGATACCGCAGCGGCCGGGCCTAATGGACTGCTGTGGGTAGCAGCTAATCCAGACCGCTCGCTGTCCGACAACATGATCCAGCGGTTATTTGCATCCCGTTACTTCTCGAGCACGAATGATTTGTATCTCCTCCTCCTCCTCCTTCCTCCTTCTCTGCAGGCGAGTTATTATGCAAAGCCCCCCTGCACAAAGCTTCCTATGTTTAAATCTGTAATGGAATCAAATTAAAAGAGGAGAAGGTTACGGCGAGCGAGGATCGGGGGTTCCAGGTTATGAATTGCGGGGCGATGTTGGAAATGTTCTCCCTTAAACTCACAGCGGCCCGAGGCGTGCATGCTGGAACACTTACTCAACGGCGCAGAGCTCAGCCCATTAAACAAACGGCGGTTTTGCAGATATGGACGGAGGGCGGCTGCTGGGGGGGGGGAGTCGAAGGCGGAGGAACGATCAGGTGCGTTTTGTGTGCGGCTCGGGCCCATTTCAGCGCCGCAATAAAACTCCACTGCAGGCTGCTGTTTAGAGAAATTAACTACAGCGTGGTCGGCGCTCCCCGCTCGCCGCTTGTTGCTCGGATTCCCGACAATCAAGCGACGCGTGTACCTTTAACAGAAGTGTTATTAATCTTTTTTTTTTTTTTAAAGCACATCACACTCGAGCGGCGCGCCTGTCGCCGTGGAGACGGGGAAGACTCTAATGAAGATCAACCTGTCAGAGATTCGGAATGCCCATCTGGCACTTCGTTATTTTACATCCACAGCCATTGTCCTGTATGTGGCACCGCTCATTACCAGATGGTTGGGTAGACGAAATGAGAAAGGAAGATGTAGGGAATAAAAAAAATAAAAAAAAGACAAAGAAATGACACCAGACGAGCAGAAAGAGAGAGAGAGAGGAAGGAAGGAGGAGGAGGAAAGAAATGAAAGCAGAGCTATTTATCCTGCATCCCCAGCTCTCCTCATTAAGACCGGGAGAAGAGAGAGGGTGAGGAGGAAAACATCTTCCAAAGGCACGTTCGCCTGCAAACACCTCTGTGAAGACCAATTTAAGCAGCCTAATTGGCTTCACTAATAAACTCGCAGGCGATGATAGCAGGTGACGCCGGAGTGAATCAGGGTGATCCTGTTTTAGCTGATGTCTCTGCTGTTTTGAGGCTCATCTGACTGCACGTGGTCTATTAGTCGCGTCCCTGAAGGTAGCCGACCTGTGACATTTGGCCGCCCGGGGCAATTAGTGGAGTCGGCTGTACATTTATTTACTGGCGTTGCGTCGTTTCTCAGCAAGATTCAGTCGACTTTCTAGCCATTACAGGGTCGTACGTTTCCTTAAAAGCACAATATGTGAATGGATTTGTTTGTTTCGTCTTCATTTATGTAGAAAAAGTGAAGAAAGGGCTCAAAAGTGAAAGCGTTTTAATTAGTATTTGCATGGGAAGGAACAGACTGAGGCTAAAGCTAACACTTTACATGAACACACTGTGTAAATAAGTTGGATTCTCAATCTCAAAAGTGACTTCAACCTGCATTATTTCTAACGACCAGCAGGGGGCGACTCCTCTGATCGCAAAAAGAAATCAATTGTAGGGAAAATGAGCTTATTTCTCACTTGATTTACTACTTCGGTGAACAAACTCTGAATGAGTTTATGGTCTTAATTGCTGGTTTCAAGTCTCATTTAACATGACACGATGCTCATTTTGTAAATTATGATCCCATTTACAGGAAAATAGACAATAAAGGAGGGTGTGTTTTAAGGCCAGGCTCGCTTGTGATGTGACAAAACCTCTCAGTTCCTTCACTTGTCACATATGGGTTAAAAAAACAAAAATGATGAGGCATGAAAACAATATTTGCAAACCAATATGTGACATTACTACATGCCAACACCCTCACAAGTAGAGAATCCAAGGAGAAAACACAGTTCTGGTGCTTTAGTTTGAATAATATGAGAGAAATATCCAGTGATGCTAAAGAGCAGAACAGAGCTGCTAACGTTAGCATGAAGGCTAATCGCATACCCCACAGATGATTGGCTGCTGAAGGATGCTCTTCTTCTATACATTTGCTGATGTGTTTTTAAAAGACCAACATACACAGAATATTGCTCGACCTAGTTGCCCAGCAATGATTAGACAGCAGTTGTAAAGCTGAGCTGTTAGTGGGAATAAAATTCTGAGTAATAATAGAAACCAAGCAGCCCTTAGTTCTGATATTTACAACAACAACAAAAGGGCAACGCTACGAAATAATAGTTTTTCTTGGCATGTCCCGGGACGTAAAATCAAGCCTAATGTAATCTCCGGCAGCATCTCTGTTCTGTGCGGCATGTATACCGGCCTCCCCGCGCCGCAGTGCTTCGTTTCATAAAGGTGGAAGGCTATCTGGGGAAATTCTCTCAATAGTTTCATAATTACGTGCAGGTACAGGAGCGGCCCGGCGTGCACTCAGCTGAGCCCCGTCGCACCACATTAATTGTGTGCAGCACTGCAGCAGTTTGAGGGGGAAAGAAAAAAGCGTTTAGGTTAAACTGCATTTATTTTGGAGGGCCAGACATTTGTATATTGCAATTTGTCATGTTTTCCAGTGTGTAGGTTGTGAATAATAAGCCACAGCAGGAAAACAAGGACTTGTTTTGATTTGTGTTGTGCTTCATTTAAATGGGTCGCAATTGCAGGTTTTAAGTGGACTGGCATTTCTCTTTGTCCTTTTAACTCAGCTGAAAGCCGGAGAGACGGCGGCGGTCATTGCCCGGGAGCTGGCGGAGCAGACCAAGAGCAACCTGCAGGCGGGGGACATCACCTACACGGTGAAGGCCATGGTGCAGCTGGTGGACCTGCTGGACGTGCAGCTGAGGAACCTGACGCCGGGCGGCAAAGACAGCGCAGCACGGAGCCTCAATAAGGTACGCAAAGAAGGCCTTTTAACACCCAGTATCCGCTTTGCTCGCTGAGAGGCTGGATGAACACCACCTCTCCCCCCCGAGCGTCCGTCCACGTCTTTGAAGGCGTCTGCGTGTAAACATCAGTTCATTCCGAAACCTTTTCTTCCCCAAAACCGAGGGGCCGGACTTCAATCCAAACCTCAAACCCTAGGTGTTCTTTTAATGATCTGTTATTTGGCTCCGTGTGCCGTCAGATAAAAACGCTCTCATACTAGAATCAGGACTTTCACTTTCAAACGGAGCACTTCTCCCACTCTAACGTCGCACATCGGTTTTACGTCGACGCCGTTTAAAAGACGGCGTTCGCACCACTTGATTCTTCCCCGGCTAACGGGACGGCGGTGCGATTCCAGATCCGAGCGGTGGGAGTTTTTCATATTTGCTGAACTTGAAGCTAATGCATTTATTCCCCAATTGGCAGCGGAGCGCGGTGAGGGCCACTCAGGCACGGCGAGCTAAAATAATACTTTCTGTCTGCTGAGCAGCCAACAGAAAGCAAACATCAGTGAAACTCGAAATGTCACTCGTTAATTTGCTGGAGCGGCTTCACTTGTAGACGAACGCCAACACCTGTTCTCGGATCGCTTTCCTTTTTTTTTTTTTTTTCCACAGGGGGGCTGTTTTTTTATTTCACTGCCGCAGCAGACACAGATGTCCCCATTGAGATTTTAGTGCCAGTTTTCTCCAGTGGAGAGGAGGGAAGGCAGTAAAGATGGCCAAAAGGGCCTCCGAAGGAAACCTGATGAGTAAATTCACATTATTGAGAGTTTATAATGCCTCTTGAAGACAAACACAAAAAAAAAAGCAGGTTTCTCATAAAGGTGGAGGCTGTGCTGGAGATGCTGCTTTTACAACCCGGAGAATTTATTCAAACGCTCAATAATGGGCTGATATACACCCTGTTCCCGCAGCGTGGTGCATCTATGGACCACAAATAAAGCTTTTTTTTCCCTCCTCGTGGTCGACTTGCGTCCCCCCACCCAGCCCGACTCTGGCAGCGTCTGATGTTTACCTCTCGAGGTTCAATCATTTTGACACAATCTGCAAAGAGCTAAGCGAATTAAAGATTTCTTTTTTTGATAGCGAAGCACGGCACGCTTTGCCAGCAGACAATGAAAGGATTGAGTTGGCAAACGGCGAGATCAGTGTCGTTTTCATGATCAAAGGGCTGCTGGCTAACGGCACGGACGGGACCGCTTCCAGAAGAGTGGGCTGTGATGTCGAGCAAGAGGCTCCTTTATGGGGGGAACGCTGGTCTTTGGAGCTAATCTGCATGGGATTTAGCATGGTACCAGAACCTAGCTGTTAAGCCACACAGTGCCTCTGTTGACGGCGCCGCCTGTATCAGAACTCAATTAAAATTATTCACTCCCCATGCAGGGCTAACAGCTCCTCTCCGAGCTCCTGTCTTTTACTTTTTGCAGGTGAATTATCTGTCCTCCAGCGATGGCCGAGGTTTAGAGGCTAACTAGCGGCCCGGCGCCGAGTTCCTCGAGTGCAAAATGCGACTTAAACAAAATCACAGGTTTCCCCGCTCGTCTCGTTTCGGCGCTAATTAACACGAGAGTCGTCGCTGTTTTTCCAACGTGGCGTTTAATTCCTGTCTGTGTGAAGTGAGCGCTCACCTGGAACCTGTGCGTCCAGCTGAATGTATGAGGACTTGTTGGAGCTCTTTGCTAACTCTTGCATTCTCTTTGCAGCTGCAGAAGAGAGAACGCTCGTGTCGGTTTTATGTTCAGGTATTTGCAACCAGATTCTTCTCTTCATTTCCCTCATTGTGGCGACTGTGCTGTCATGTTCAGCTGCACCATCGAGCTTTGTGCTTTTGAAAATGGCAAGAATTGAAACGCAAAACTACAGAATCAAAGTGTGTGTACGCTGTAAAAAACAATAAATAGAAATCATACAAAACAAATGGCAAAAGTCTGGCAGCAAAAATGTGTAGTTTCTTTGAAAATAACCACAAATGTCTGTGAAATAAAGACATTTAAAGGTGTAAAAACATATTAGACTTTACTAGATATTATCTGTAATATAACAAAACTGAGAATAACTGTTGAATAATGAACAAATTATTTTAATTATTTAAAAAATTATTTTTAGCAAATCTGTGCAATTGCAGTTAAATTATTTACCATTTTTTTTTACATTTTAATACAATTTCACATACAGACCGCTTATTTCAGATTTTTTTGAAAATATCTTCCAAATAAAACATAATTTTAATGGATTTTATCTGTTGTTTAACAAAACAGGGAAAATATGTAAAATATCAGGTAAATTATCACATTTTTTAAATCCATGATCAACATTTTTTTTATTTGAGAATATCTGAAAAATAACATTAAATTTGAATTATTTAAATACAGTCCCAAAAAAAATGTAAAAACTAAAAAAAAAACAACAATTATTTCTAAAGTCAAATTTTGCAAAAATAAATTCTGAAAAATAAATAAATAAAAATACAAGTTTTATAATTATTTTTATACTATTATAATATGTTATTTTAGATTTGAAATTATTTACAGTTTGGCCTGTTTTTCATGGTTAGCATGTAAATGATTTTCTCTTTTCTGTGATTTGACCAGTTATTATCTGTAACTGTTAAATAATAGGAAATTATTAAAAACAAACACAGTTTAAAACCATTTCAATAAATCATTTTTTACAGTGTGCACCACATCCTGTATTTCTATCAGTGCTTAAGTCAAATCAAAAGGTCGAATTCCCTCATGTTTGGCGTCTCAGACGAACCAGTTTTCCATTCCTGCCATCGCTCATCCCCCCTGTGTGCATGTGTCACCAGCTTCTCTTCTTGGCCCGAGCGCAAGGCTCGAGGAGCTCTCTGTATTTTTGAAATGTCATAAACCCATTGTGGATTTCTCGAGTGTCTCAATCATTTTAAAAATGCCCCAGAACTATCACATCAGCGCTGCTTTCCGGCGAAATAACCCACATAAGTGGAGAGCATCAGTCAAAAATAAAGCTCTCAGCCATGTAACACGGTGCCTACGTTTCTCGGCAAATGCTTAAGAGGCAAAAGAAGTGACCTCATTATCCCAACAAGTCAACTTCTAACTACTAAGTCAGCCAAAGTCATGGCATGTTATGATTCCCCCTGATGCATAATACATATTTGTCCCAATTTAGGAGGGGAGGGGGCCTCTCTCAGCTATTTCTCGGGCTACTGAGTGATTTTGTTATCCCCGGGGTGACATTTTAGCTGTCATGTGAATAATTTCTACCTTGACAGGAGAACTGTGGGAGAAGCTGACATCCCCGTCTTCCATACAGATGGCTCGAATTAGACCGCACACGAGAGCCAGATGTTGTTTTATATGTGCGCTCCGATTAAGCAACATGTATTCTGCCTGGGCTCCTCGGAGGCTCGGCGGCGTTCACGCTCACGTGACGAGCCGGCGAGCGAGTGTTTGCCGAGCGCGTTCGTATGTACAGATGGTCTGCCGAGAGCCTGCTCGATGGTGTTTTAGTGTTTTCTTATCGTCAACAAAGTCCTGAACTGAGACTGAAGCAGCCGCTGTCGGTGCCTGAAACCTCTATTATTGATTTAGAATGAAGTATTCCTTCATTACGGCGTGAAGCGGTGCTTTGTTTTGCATGGCGCGCCGTCCTCCTGCTGTGAATCATCACCCTAAGCACGGCGGATACGCTGCTAAAAATATCCCCCACCCAAAACCTACACCTATCTGAGTGACGTTTTCTGCAAAAAGCTGTCGTTTGCAGCTGTTTTGGGAAATTGCAGACCCTGTTTGTCGAAGTAAGATTTATTTGAAGAAGGCTAAGAGGCTGCAGATGTGCTAGCGGCGATGCTAACATGTGGCTTTGTAGCAGGTGTAATGTTTATCAAGTATGTTAGCGCTTAGCATGTTGGTATGCTAACATTTGATAATTAAGATGGATTGCAGCTGATGAACCTGATGGGATGCATGTGATGGTGCAGGAATGTGCTCAAAGTGGAGCAGAAAAGATCGTTTTGAGTTGATTTCTGAGGCAATGCTATTTTTATCCTACAGTTCTTTGTTTGTTTGTTTGTTTTTACATTTATTTATTTACTTACTTATACAGTTTATTAATTTATTTAAACAATAACCTGTTATTCTTACAATTTTTACAGCTTTTGTAAAGAAAAACTAAATAAAAAAACAGCCAAAAAATATGTCTAAAGGCCAAAAATATTTATTTTCAAAATGTTGAATTCTAAAGCTTTTACAATATTTAAATTAGCATTAAAAAAATTAGTAAAATAAAAAATAAAACACATTATTTTACAGAAAATCATTGACATTTAGCAATTTTTTCCCCTTTTTAAAAAAAAATGTAGATAATATTTCGTAAAGTCACATTAAAAAACAAACAAACAAAACATTATTTACATGTTAACTGTAAATGACAACAGTCTAAACTGCACCATCATGCCCGCTTCATTTTCTAGTGTTAATAATTTGTGCTTTTGCAGTATGTGGCCATGAAATGACTTTAATTTATTGCATTTAAATCTGCTGATAAGAGCTTTTTATTTTATTTTACAGATTTTAGCTGTTTTTGTTTGTTTGTTTGTTTGTTTGTTTTTACCATTTTTTACAGTTTTGGAATGCATCCTTGTTTGGTTTTTGATTTAACACCACTTTTACCACCAATTCATCGAATACCCGTCAACATATTTCACTTAAAACCAACACTATCAACCTCACCGTCGTTGACCTTCGTGGTGGCAGAAGCTAGAGAATGAAGGACCTTCACCCAGGAGACCCAGTTCTCTTTTTTCTTGGACTTCAGTTTCGCTCACTGTTGGGTCAGATACAGGAAACTGTTGTACTGTGAGAAGCTTGGTTGAGTTTAAAGACCAAAATGGCACAGTTTGGGTTCAAATAGACACTTTATCAACATGTTTTTCTGGGTCTAATATTCTAATATGTGATTGGTTTTCCAAAAAGGAGAAACAGTAAAGCAACAAAACAAACGTATGCTAATCTACAACATGCTCTACAAACGTGATTGAGGATGTAGTTTGACTGTGTGGGAGTTTAGTTTTTGGTTCCTCTGGGTTCATCTTCATGTCGCTGCATCTGCTTGGGCTCTTGCTTCACGTCGAGGATCCTCTAAACACCTCAGTACCAGAGCTCACGCCTCTTCCTTCCTTCCCCTCCGCCCGGCTTGACGAATCCAAACAATCGAGGAGTGCTTTCACTTGACGAGCCGGAACAGCGAAGCAACATCTGCGGCCGTCCGTCGGCAAACACGGGCGCCGTCGCCAGCGGGCTTTCGGGGACTTCCATCGATTAGGGAAATTGGGCCGAGTTTTCTCCAACAGGACCCCGGTGGTCGACATAAGTGGGATTAGCAGAGGAATACAAAGCAAACGAGAGGCGCACCTGCCTCCCGCCTCCCGCCGGCGTCCCTCTGCTCGGAGGCCGGCTGACTCGGGCGGCTCCGTGGGAGGAGGTAGATGGAGTGCAGGTGTTGCGGCGCCGAAAGACGGAACCCGTCGTCCAAAATGCGACGTTTTAATGAGCTCCACAGCGATTATTTCCTTCGCCGAGGGCTCCTCTCTTGTTTAAGTGGCTAAATGACACTCGAATTCACCTCAAACTGAGCTCTTTATCTTGTCGGGGAATTTCATCCGGAGCCGTGTTCGCCGATACATATTCACAAAGACTCGTGGTAATTTCCCCGGCCAGATGAAACGATGATTAATTACGACTACTTCTGAGTCTTTTCCTCGGCTGTTTGTAAAGAATCGTATCTGCTACGTGTCACAGCCAATTTAATCCCGGCGAACAGGGCTCGGCCTTGATAAAGCTCCAAATGATCAAGTCCCCTCTGTTCTGCGTTTTCCCCCTGCAGGAATGTTCCTCTGTTGTGCCCTTTGATTCTGAACAAACACGATAAAAATGGCGCCCTGCCTCCTTTGCCTTTTGGTCGTATTAATGGCAGCTTGTTTATAGGCGGCGACATTATGCTCCTCCAATTACCGTGATTACGTCCGTCTGCATTGTTCTCAGGCGAGACGCTCTCGCTTTGAGCGGCTTCTTGTCGTCGAAGTCGTGGGATTTCCAGTAAATTATCCCGCTTCAGTGCGCCGAGGAAGAAAAAAAAAAAGAAATCAAAAATAACATCTCGTGCCTCGGTGGGAGCCAAGTGAGTGTGAATTTGCGAGATGCGGGGAGGATGTTGAGCTCCGACCCTCATTAAAACGACACCTTTGCGGCGAGACGATGGCCGGGGGAGTCGCGGCGCTGGATGACCTTCGAGCGGGAGGGACGCAGGGAGGCTCCTCGTTCAGGACGGTAACGAGATGATAAAACTTCCCCCGGTAGTCAATTTGTTGGGAGATGAAGATCAACACGTTCTCGTAAACTCGGAGCTGCCGAGATCTGCCCAACGTTCAAGAAGCCCCGTTCCTGTGGGGGTTTCTTTAGATCTGGGTCGGGTATTTATACACATATGTACATGAGATGCATTGAACTGAGAGCTTAACATGTTTTGCAAAGCGTGCAGCAGCAGGAGATTAAATGCAACCGAAACAAGAAGAAACAGGAAGTAGTTGACTTTGGTCTAGCAGTGATAGCATCCATACGGTGGAAATGTGCTGAAACTTTCAGAAGCAAACATGAAGAAAGTTCTCATCTGACTCCCTCAGAATCAGCTGATGTTTTATCTACAGTAACTTCAGTAGATTTAATGAAGCCGTGCAAAGTTTTACCTTCATACTGTCAAT